AGAGAGAGGGGTGGGTTGATTGCACTCTCTTGGACTGCAAGAAGGCCTTTGACACAGTTCCTCACAAGAGATTAGTGCAGAAGCTAGAGCATCAGGCGCATATAACAGGAAGGGCACTGCAATGGATCAGAGAATACCTGACAGGGAGGCAACAACGAGTCATGGTACGTAATGATGTATCACAGTGGGCACCTGTGACGAGCGGGGTCCCACAGGGGTCGGTCCTAGGACCAGTGCTATTTTTGGTATATGTGAACGACATGACGGAAGGGTTAGACTCAGAAGTGTCCCTGTTTGCAGATGATGTGAAGTTAATGAGGAGAATTAAATCTGATGAGGACCAGGCAGGACTTCAAAGAGACCTGGACAGACTGGACACCTGGTCCAGCAAATGGCTTCTCGAATTTAATCCTGCCAAATGCAAAGTCATGAAGATAGGGGAAGGGCACAGAAGACCACAGACAGAGTATAGGCTAGGTGGCCAAAGACTGCAAACCTCACTCAAGGAGAAAGATCTTGGGGTGAGTATAACACCGAGCATGTCTCCGGAAGCACACATCAATCAGATAACTGCTGCAGCATATGGGCGCCTGGCAAACCTGAGAACAGCATTCCGATACCTTAGTAAGGAATCATTCAAGACACTGTACACCGTGTATGTCAGGCCCATACTGGAGTATGCAGCACCTGTTTGGAACCCGCACTTGATAAAGCACGTCAAGAAACTAGAGAAAGTACAAAGGTTTGCGACAAGGTTAGTTCCAGAGCTAAGGGGAATGTCCTATGAAGAAAGATTAAGGAAATCGGCCTGACGACACTGGAGGACAGGAGGGTCAGGGGAGACATGATAACGACATATAAAATACTGCGTGGAATAGACAAGGTGGACAAAGACAGGATGTTCCAGGGAGGGGACACAGAAACAAGAGGCCACAATTGGAAGTTGAAGACACAAATGAGTCAGAGAGATAGTAGGAAGTATTTCTTCAGTCATAGAGTTGTAAGGCAGTGGAATAGCCTAGAAAATGACGTAGTGGAGGCAGGAACCATACACAGTTTTAAGACGAGGTTTGATAAAGCTCATGGAGCGGGGAGAGAGAGGGCCTAGTAGCAACCGGTGAAGAGGCGGGGCCAGGAGCTAGGACTCGACCCCTGCAACCACAAATAGGTGAGTACAAATAGGTGAGTACACACACACACACACACACACACACACACACACACACACACACACACACACACACACACACACACACACACACAAACACAAACACACACACACACACACATGCACATATGTGGTAATGCTTTATTTACAGCTAGCAAAGTCAGGGTATTTCTCCAGAATGGTCTGCAATATACCACTGTGGATAAAATACTTTGCCATTTCTTGAACATTTCTGAGTGAGTTGTTTCTAAATTCATTAATTTTATCACACTCCAGTACATAATGACGCAGGGTGTGACAATAGTCCATCTGGCAAAGTTTACATTTCGTTGGTCTTAACCTGCCAAAGATACTTGTAACCCAGCCGGATCCGGGCAGTAGTGACATCCATGAGTCTGCTTATTTTGTTGGATGCACCATAGACATGTGGCTCCTCCTGCATGATAGAATGATGATAGATGGACTCACTGGTGTCAATCTCCCTGAGCCTTAAGTCCATAAAATTCAGTTGAAGTTCTTTCCGTATTATTGTTCTCAAACTACTACCTGACAAGCCAAGATTGTAATCTACTCCCTCTTTGAAAGCATACAGCTTAGCCAATTTATCAGTTCTATCATGCATCTGAAGACCAATGTGAGATGGAATCCACAGCATGTGCACTCTGACTCCACTGTCCACAATCCTACCATACCTGTGTCTGGCTTCTGACACAAGCATGCCACAATTTATGCTTAATGAGTTGAGAGCATTTATGGATGACAGAGAATCAGTTACAATTAAACTGTCAATCTTTGATACATAGATGCATTTCAGTGCAAGGAGTATGGCAAACAGTTATGTCTGAAGGGTAGAGGCCCAATTATTGATGCGTGCTCCAATTTCTTTAAGAGACCCATCACTCTGTACGACAACAGCAGCACTACCAGCTGCACCAGTGGATTGGTGAACAGAACCATCAGCGTAAATAATTTGCGAGAGTGTGTGCTGTGTGACTAAGTTATCAATACAGCTTAAGGCCTCATGTTTGGCTTCAAGGCGAAGTTTTGGTTGTGATTTAAGAAGTAGTTTGGGAGGAAATGGAGGAATGGTAGTTTGGAATGGGGTAATATTCCATGGAGCGGAGAAGTGCCGCTGTTGCCTTACTTGACATAGATCATGTATCTGATTCATGCGGAGGTCGGTTCCAGTTTTTTCGATCCATCTGGAGGAGTGTTCACCAGTGCTGAGGAAAGTTTGGAGGGCTTCTGTGCAGGGGTTTGAATGAGCTTGCCTGAGCATATTAACCCCAATTAGGATATTTCTTTCAGTAACACGATCTCTGATGCTTGGAATATCAAGTTCTTTTTGCATATTTAAAATTTTGGCAGTACGAGGGCATCCTAAAATGATCCTCATTGCTTCGTTTTGCAGTTTTTCCAGCTCTCCAAGCTTCCAGTCAGACACAAGAGCAAGTAGCGGCGCAGCATAATCAACCAATGATCTAATATAAGCAAGATACATCATTTTCACAATTTTAACATTAGCACCATACCTGGGGTGAAGCCCTGCCACAACTCTAAGCGCTCTTAGTCGTTCTTTGTATTGGCGACAAAGTCTTGTTACAACAGGTCCAAGTAGTGGAACCTCAAAGCCTAGATACCTGTATCTGCTTACATATTCTAGAATCTTTAAACGTATAAAAGAGAATTTCAGAAAGGACTTAATTTTAAATGAGTTCTTGCTAATTGACCAGTTTTACATATTCGGCACGACATATATATATATATTATATATATATATATATATATATATATATATATATATATATATATATATATATATATATATATATACCTGGAGTTTACCTGGAGAGAGTTTCGGGGGTCAACGCCCCCGCGGCCCGGTCTGTGACCAGGCCTCCTGGTGGATCAGCGCCTGATCAACCAGGCTGTTGCTGCTGGCTGCACGCAAACCAACGTATGAGCCACAGCCCGGCTGGTCAGGAACCGACTTTAGGTGCTTGTCCAGTGCCAGCTTGAAGACTGCCAGGGGTCTGTTGGTAATCCCCCTTATGTATGCTGGGAGGCAGTTGAACAGTCTCGGGCCCCTGACACTTATTGTATGGTCTCTTAACGTGCTAGTGACACCCCTGCTTTTCATTGGGGGGATGTTGCATCGTCTGTCAAGTCTTCTGCTTTCGTAGTGAGTGATTTTCGTGTGCAAGTTCGGTACTAGTCCCTCTAGGATTTTCCAGGTGTATATAATCATGTATCTCTCCCGCCTGCATTCCAGGGAATGCAGGTTTAGGAACCTCAAGCGCTCCCAGTAATTGAGGTGTTTTATCTCCGTTATGCGCGCCGTGAAGGTTCTCTGTACATTTTCTAGGTCAGCAATTTCACCTGCCTTGAAAGGTGCTGTTAGTGTGCAGCAATATTCCAGCCTAGATAGAACAAGTGACCTGAAGAGTGTCATCATGGGCTTGGCCTCCCTAGTTTTGAAGGTTCTCATTATCCATCCTGTCATTTTTCTAACAGATGCGATTGATACAATGTTATGGTCCTTGAAAGTGAGATCCTCCGACATGATCACTCCCAGGTCTTTGACGTTGGTGTTTCGCTCTATTTAGTGGCCAGAATTTGTTTTGTACTCTGATGAAGATTTAATTTCCTCGTGTTTACCATATCTGAGTAATTGAAATTTCTCATCGTTGAACTTCATATTGTTTTCTGCAGCCCACTGAAAGATTTGGTTGATGTCCGCCTGGAGCCTTGCAGTGTCTGCAATGGAAGACACTGTCACGCAGATTCGGGTGTCATCTGCAAAGGAAGACACGGTGCTGTGGCTGACATCCTTGTCTATGTCGGATATGAGGATGAGGAACAAGATGGGAGCGAGTACTGTACCTTGTGGAACAGAGCTTTTCACCGTAGCTGCCTCGGACTTTACTCTGTTGACGACTACTCTCTGTGTTCTGTTAGTGAGGAAATTATAGATCCATCGACCGACTTTTCCTGTTATTCCTTTAGCACGCATTTTGTACGCTATTACGCCATGGTCACACTTGTCGAAGGCTTTTGCAAAGTCTGTATATATTACATCTGCATTCTTTTTGTCTTCTAGTGCATCTAGGACCTTGTCGTAGTGATCCAATAGTTGAGACAGTCAGGAGCGACCTGTTCTAAACCCATGTTGCCCTGGGTTGTGTAACTGATGGGTTTCAGTTATATGGTGCTAGTATATATATACCATGTATATACATGGTATATATATATAATGGTGGCCCGTGGCCTGGTGGCAAAAGCTCTCGCTTCACACGCTGAGAGCCCGAGTTCGATTCCCGGCGAAGGTTGAAACATAAGAATATAAGGGAGAAGAAACACTGCAGCAGGCCTACTGGCCCATTGGGCGTATTTCCTTACAGTGGTTGCCCATTTTCACCCATCAGTAGTTTTAGTTTAATATGTTTATTATGTACCCCATACCCGTGGTGTGGGTGGTAGTCAAAAGATTAGAGAGGTACATAATGTGTCCAGGACTGGACCACAAAGTTATGATAGATGAACAAGTTAGAAAGGTAATGAATCAAGTAAGTAGGTAAGTAAATTTACTTACTTACGTTTATACATGGCTACAATCCATCAGTAAAGTGGATACTTTTGGGTGATAATCGACTGGTTTGGGTCGCATCCTGGGACAAAATTGACCTAATTTACCCGAAATGCTGAGCATAACAAGGAGCTTTCTATATAGTAGTATATCATTAATGTCAGCTAGACCTGTATACCTTGTACATGTACTTGTAGTAAATAAAGATATTATTATTATTATTATTATTATAACGCATGGCGAGGTTCAGATGTCCATGATGGAGGTGGATGATGGGAGTCAACAATAACATTGTTTATGGTGTCTTCTGAGCCTCCATGTAAGCAGCAAACATCATATATATGATCAGTGTGTAGTGTTGTCTTCCAGTTGACTCACAGATACTCACAATTAATGGTAAATATGAGTGAGAGATGAGTTAGTCTTCACTAAGTCAACAACAACAACAACAACAACAGTGTTCAGCGGCTCCTTCACTCCCTCATAATTTATTTTGTTTTCATTTCTTGTAAGTTTTTTAAGAGTTTTTTTCATGGAATGTATCAATGTTGGGTTAAAAATGGCTTCTGGCTGTAGTATATAAATTATTTGATGTTTTTTGGGGGAATTAATAACTTTCTCTTGTGATGTTTATATCGTATTTTCCATAAAAAAAATGTATTGCATATATGGCGATTAAATTGATCAATTTGCAAGGAAATTTTTGTATTAGGTGACAGTAGGTAACTTATTACAGTAAGTTCCTTGAGGAAAATTAGGGGGCTCTTGATCCAAGGAATTGAACCTGTTCTCTCTACATTGAACCTGAATGTCTCCCATTCCCCCAGGCAGTGTGGCCCCTATAGGTTTAGTGCTCTTCCATGACTCCATGAATATAATAATTGACAGTAAAATCAACTTATTTCTTCGTCTGTGATGATAATGGTCACAAAAAGTTTTTTTTTTTTGGTGTAATAATTGGTAGCTGTTGTACTACAGTATATATGTTGGTCAGATGAACTTATGTTCCAACATATATACATCGAGAGGTATATAAATACTGACAGTTTAGTTTAATCCCTATTTTTGAGATTATAGAATTCTTGATTGGTAGTGAACAAGTGACTTGTAGCCTTAAGGACCCTCCTGTAGTTGTTAGGATTTTAAACCCAAGAATAATAATAATAATCATTATTTCTACAAGTATATGATACAACTTATACAGACCTAGCTGACATGAATGACATATTGTATAGAAAAATCCCTGGTTTTGTAGAGCATTTCGGGCAAATTAGGTTAATTTTGTCCCCAGGATGCGACCCACACCAGTCAACATGGACAGCAGGTGGCATAAGGAAATGCCTAAATGTTTCCACCTGTTTACCTGGAGTTTACCTGGAGAGAGTTTCGGGGGTCAACGCCCCCGCGGCCCGGTCTGTGACCAGGCCTCCTGGTGGATCAGCGCCTGATCAACCAGGCTGTTGCTGCTGGCTGCACGCAAACCAACGTACGAGCCACAGCCCGGCTGATCAGGAACTGACTTTAGGTGCTTGTCCAGTGCCAGCTTGAAGACTGCCAGGGGTCTGTTGGTAATCCCCCTTATGTGTGCTGGGAGGCAGTTGAACAGTCTCGGTCCCCTGACACTTATTGTATGGTCTCTTAACGTGCTAGTGACACCCCTGCTTTTCATTGGGGGGATGGTGCATCGTCTGCCAAGTCTTTTGCTTTCGTAGTGAGTGATTTTCGTGTGCAAGTTCGGTACTAGTCCCTCTAGGATTTTCCAGGTGTATATAATCATGTATCTCTCCCTCCTGCGTTCCAGGGAATACAGGTTTAGAAACCTCAAGCGCTCCCAGTAATTGAGGTGTTTTATCTCCGTTATGCGCGCCGTGAAAGTTCTCTGTACATTTTCTAGGTCGGCAATTTCACCTGCCTTGAAAGGTGCTGTTAGAGTGCAGCAATATTCCAGCCTAGATAGAACAAGTGACCTGAAGAGTGTCATCATGGGCTTGGCCTCCCTAGTTTTGAAGGTTCTCATTATCCATCCTGTCATTTTTCTAGCAGATGCGATTGATACAATGTTATGGTCCTTGAAGGTGAGATCCTCCGACATAATCACTCCCAGGTCTTTGACGTTGGTGTTTCGCTCTATTTTGTGGCCAGAATTTGTTTTGTACTCTGATGAAGATTTAATTTCCTCATGTTTACCATATCTGAGTAATTGAAATTTCTCATCGTTGAACTTCATATTGTTTTCTGCAGCCCACTGAAAGATTTGGTTGATGTCCGCCTGGAGCCTTGCAGTGTCTGCAATGGAAGACACTGTACTGTGGATTAAACCACGGACCTCGGTGTGTGAGTTGAGTGGGCTACCAACCAGGCAGTTGGACACCCATGGCTGTTAGCGAGTCAAGCAAGTCAGGTGTACACAACAAACATGGAATAGAGGAACTCTGTTTTTTTATTCACATATGTAAGGAACTGGACCTGCTCTCCTCTCCCTTAGATCAAACATGAATGCCTCCCATTTTCCCAGGCATTATATGACTCCTACAAGCTACCATTTCCTACATGAATGTAACAATTTAGCACCATGGCTATCTCCCACTAAGGCGAGCACCTAAAGTCGGTTCCTGATCAGCCAGGCTGTGGCTCGTACGTTGGTTTGCGTGCAGCCAGCAGTAATAGCCTGGTTGATCAGGCTCTGATCCACCAGGAGGCCTGGTCACAGACTGGGCCGCGGGGGCGTTGACCCCCGGAACTCTCTTCAGGTAAACTCCAGGCTCCAGGTAATCATCCCTTATGACACTCAGGGCTCATGGAGGAAGGATTCTTCTCAGCTACTCTATTGAGAATAATAATAATAGTAATAATAATAATATTATTATTAAACGACACTACAGAGGTTAGCATGGACCCCTCTGTGACCACGGTGCAGTTTTTTTACAGACTAATCTCACACTAGCATAGATATGAAAAGATTTAGCCCTGACTAGCCTGGGTCAGTGGCTTTGGCTAGTAGGTGACTTGGACCTGCCTTGCAAGGGCCAGTAGGCCTGCTACAGTGTTTCTTCTTTCTTGTGTTTTTATTCCCTGCAAAGTTCGTATTAATGACTTCAGAAATCATAATATGGCTGTAAACCACTTGGGGATAGGGCAGGATTCAAACCTATGGCAAGCCAGTCCTAACACTAACAGCAGACCAGTGCACCAACCACTGTATCATGCTCGCCTTCAGGAGCACTGCAGCACATACACTGTTTATGTTCTTACTGAAATGTATGTTCCTCTCACCTGCCTTTATATTGTACTACCTCCATGTAAGAGCTATTAGATGTAAAGAAACCTGCTGTGAAGGTGACATGTTATATGAATAACATTTCTGTTACTGCATTTGTGTTGTTATCATCCACAACTTGTCAGTATTCCTTCACAATCTACTGTTAGGATAATGTACATGATTAACTGTATAAATAAATTTGAGAGGATGAAGGTGTAAAAGTATCAGCATTCACTTAGGTACATGGGGACATGCAATGCTATGGATACTTTATTGCAAGCAACATTTCACTTACCAGGCATGGCAAAGTTCCTGGCAAGCAAAACATGGCCAGCAATAAAGCATTTAAAATGTTACATGTGTGTCTGTGTACCTAATAAATAAATTTGTAATAGATGATGACTATTCAGATTGTTAATTTGATAGATGATAATCCAGAATAACCCAAGAAGGCCAAACATTGTAACTTATTTCTGTTTGAATCTTAGGTTTATCTCTAGGAGTCACCCCATGAATCACTGTACTCGTAAAAATGTAAGAATAGAGGAGTACGTACTGCAATAGTCCTACTAGCCTGAGCTAGGAAAATCCTCAGTGATAAATAGGTAGGTAAGTAGGTTTATTTAGTTACAATTATGTACACACAAGTACAGTTATGAAGGTTATGGAAGGTTATGATTTCTTACCTAGTAACATGCATAAATTACCTAAGATAACCCATAAAACTCAAAGTGATTTTATTTCTATTGGGGTCCTTTTAAAGCTATTTAGTGTCAGCTTTCATAACTACTGTACTTGCCAGATAGTTTCACTCATCTAAAATGGTACTTTCCTATATCCTTTCTTAATATGAACTCATGTTCTTTTTTGGTTAAATATTCCTGACACTTTATTTATATCTCCATTCCTTAAACCTTCGCTTGTATACTTAAGTCACATCTCCCCATATTCTACATTTTTAGAGTGTGTTGGTTCAGGACTTTTATCTTTGTATGTAATTTCCTTAGCCATTAGATTGCTTTTGTAATTCATTTTTTTGTTTTTTTTTGTTCTCCAATGCATTTACATATGTCCATTCTGTAGTATGGGGACCAGATCTGCACTATTTAATTGAGGCCTTAGTAATGGTAACCTTTGGACTCTGGTTATTTATAATTCTTAATGGGTGCTTGTAGTTCTTATCTGAAGACCTAGGTCTGATCCCAGCACTGAAAATATTCATCATGCTTCCTAACACCTGTTGCTTCTGTTCATCCAGCAGTAAGTTAGGTATCTGTGTGTAAGTTCACTAAGAGGTTACAAGGACTCCAGTGGAAATAAGATAAGAGGTTAAAAGGGCCCCAGTGGAAATAAACCAGACAAATTGGCTTTCTTTCTTGGATTATCCTGGGTAACTAGCCATCCTGGTTAATAATCTGTTTGATATATAAATAATGTAGTTTACATATAATAAAACATTGGTAGGCACAAAAGAAAGCTACTAATTATGCATTGCAGTTCAGGCAAACTAATCCTAATGCTTGAATATTACTTAAGATCTAGACATAGACTATTAAGTAAGAGTTATGTAGTTAACTACTGTCATAACTACAGGAAGGTACCTTCCTGCTGGTGAGGGGGGTCCTTGATCCAAGGTATTGAACCTGTATAGTCTATCTGTGATTGTACATGTACATGTACTTTGGGGTGCTGCTATATTGGTCCAGTGGGTTTAGTGATTGATGGTATTATTTGGCATGAGTTTATGTTGAAATCGCCAGCAATTTGTAGTTGATTATTATTATGCTTGTTGTTTATTATAGTATTTCGTAGATTGTCACCGAATCTTTGTGTGTGTGTAGTATTCTGTAAATTGCTCCAAGTCTTATTGAATTAGTATTATTGGTTTTAAATTGAGTAATTTTTTTTTATTAACACAACCATTTCCCACTGAGGCCAGGTGACCCAAAAAATAAGAAACACTTTCATCATCATTCACTCCATCACTGTCTTGCCAGAAGCATGCCAGAAGCATGTAGTGTTTACCTGGAGTTTACCTGGAACTCTCTCCAGGTAAACTCCAGGTAAACACTACAGTTAAAAAATTGCAGCATATCAACACTTCTCCTTCAGAGTGCAGGCACTGTTCTTCCCACCTCCAGGACTCAAATCATAAAAACCATTTGTCTCCACTTGCTCCTGGTTAACACGCTCATGTTTGCATGCTAGAAGTCCAGGCCCCACACACACAAAACCTCCTTAACCCCCTCCCTCCAACCTTTCCTAGGATGATCCCTACCCCACCTTCCTTCGACTACAGATTTACTAAATTTATGTTCACCATATTCATCAGTATCACACAAGTGTTTATGGTATTCATAAAATTGAATTCACTAGCTTACTGTAGTAAATAGCTGTACAACCACCTTTCTTGTTTTGTCTGCAGTTACAGATTACTTTGTACCCAGGTATATTGAATACGTTAGTGAGGTATATTAGCTGGGTTTTGGTTAATGTGATGAAAGGGAATTTGATCTCTTTCTGGATATGTTTGGCCTTGCTCTTGGTCTCAGTATGAGACAATCACAAACTGAAAATGATTTTTACCCACTTCTAATGAGTAGATATTTGAGGTTTGCTGCTAGATAAGTGATAAATGGTAGAAGCTCTGCTGTACTATCAAAATAGGCAATAATATGTATTTGTAGATGGAGTTGTAAGAGAAGTGAATGCTCGGGTGTTGGAAAGAGGTGTGGGGTTAAAAGATAAAGAATCAAACACAAAGTGGGAGTTGTCACAGTTGCTCTTTGCTGATGACACTGTGCTTTTGGGAGATTCTGAAGAGAAGTTGCAGAGACTGGTTAATGAGTTTGGTAATGTTTGTAAAAATAGGAAATTAAAAGTGAATGTAGGAAAGAGTAAGGTGATGAGGATAAACAAAAATTTAGGTAATAGAAGATTGGATTTCAGATTGGAGGAAGAGAGTATGGAGGAGGTGAATGTAATCAGATATTTGGGAGTGGATGTGTCAGCAAATGGGTCTATGAAAGATGAGGTGAATCATAGAATCGATGAGGGAAAAAAGGTGAGTGGTGCACTGAGGAGCCTGTGGAGACAAAGAACTTTGTCCATGAAAGCTAAGAGGGGAATGTATGAGAGTATAGTTATACCAGTGGAGATGTCATGTCTGAGGGCAATGTGTGGTATGAATATAATGCAGAGAATCCATAGTTTGGAGAGTAGGAGGAGGTGTGGGATTACCAAAACTATTATCCTGAGGGCTGAGGGAGGGTTATTTAGATGGTTTGGACATATAGAGAGGAAGGAACAAAATAGAATGACTTTGAGAGTGTATAAATCTATAGTGGAGGGAAGGAGGGGTAAGGGTCAGCTTAGGAAAGGTTGGAGGGAGGGGTAAAGGAGGCTTTGTGCATGAGGGGCTTGGCTTTCCAGCAAGCGTGCGTGAGTGTGTTAGATAGGAGCAAATGGAGACAAATGGTTTTTAGGACTTGATGTGCTGTTGGAGTGTAAGCAAGGTAACATTTATGAAGGGATTTGGGGAAATGGGCAGGCCAGACTTGATTCCTGGAGATGGGAAGTACAGTGCCAGCACCCTGAAGGAGGGGTGTTAGTGTTTCAATTTTGTAACTGTAGTGTAAGCATGCCTCTGGCAAGACAGTGATGGAGCAAATGATGGAAATTTTTCTTTTTTGGGCTACCCTGCCTTGGTGGGAAATGGCCAGTATGTTGTTAAAAAAATAAATGAAATAATCCATATGTTGAAGTATATAAAAAAAAATAATTTTGATATTTGTTTTCAGAGATGAGCAGCATGGATAGCTCTGATACCCATAGTCAAGGGGAAGAATGGGAAGAGCCAATGACCTCACCAGTTCATAATCCTGGTACCCCAGATGATCCAATGAGTCCTGGGAATACAGTTAGTTCATGTCCAATGTCTCCTCAGAATCCACCCAGTTCAGGAGGTGACATGAGCCCTGAAGGTTACCCTCAAAATCCAACTAACCCTATGAGCCCTGAAGGTATTATGAGCCCTGAAGATGGTCCCATGAGTCCAAATGGCTCCATGAGTCCTCAGACTCAGACTAGTCCTGAAAGTCGTATGAATCCACCAAGTTCACAGGGACTTATGAGTCCAGACAATACTCGGAGTCGTTGTGATTCACTTAGTTCCAGAAGCTCTGCCAGTCGTGATGGGCCAGTAAGTCCCAGTAATCATGAGAGCTTTGACCCACTAAGTCCACCATATCCAAGAAATAATGATGATCCATCAAGAGATTTTAGAAGTCATGGTGGTTCAGTAAGCCCAGAAGATAGAAGTCAATATAGCTATTTCAATCAGCAAAATCCCAGAAGTCCTGATAGTCCAGAAAGTCCAAGAGACTCAAGTCCTGACAGTCCATTGGGTCAAAATAATCCTGAAAGTCCTGACAGTCAATTGGGTCAAAATAATCCTGAAAGTCCTGACAGTCAATTGGGTCAAAATAATCCTGAAAGTCCTGACAGACCATTGAGTCCTGAGAGGCCATTCATTAGGAGCCCTAATGAATCTTTAAGCTCACAAAATCAAAGAAGTACTGAAGGGTTAGGGAGTCCCAGGGTTCCTGGTAGCCCAGGTAAACCACCTAGCATACAAGAACCATTAAGCCTTAGAAGCCCAGATATGCCTGTCAGTCCAGATTACCCACATGTATCAAAGAATCCTACTAGTGTAAGACATCTGGTCAGCCCTTCCAATCCTGCAAGTGCAGATGAGTCGTTTAACTGCAGATCTTCAGCAGATCCAAGAGAAGATAAAGAAAATTTTCAAGCAGACAGGCTATCAGAAATATCAGAAGGTGATTCAACAGTAAGTAATAAATTTGAAAGATGGAATTTTTGAGTAGCCATAAATTTAACTGTACATTTTTAAATTTATTTGTAAGTAACTTTGATGTGTGTTTGTGTAGGTTATCAAGTAACCAGTGCCATCATCAGAGGGTGTACTGGATTTTCAAGATTACCTGATAATTTCATCAGTTTTATTATAAACTCTGCACATTCCTTTCCTCATTATCCATTTAAGTGCTCACTATGAATGAGACCACCAGATAATTAGTGGATATCCAATATCTGATCTGTATTTTTGTTTTACACTCTTAGCTTCAGCACTTTTGTGTTACACACTGTCCATACACTATTAAGATATTCTCAGTAGTGGAGCACTTATGGGGATATTTATTGTTAGCATTATAGTATGAATGCAGGTAGGCCCCACTTTACACTGTTTTGCTAATACTGTAATCATATATGGTTAGTCTTATACTGCATATTTTCAAATTATTCATTTATTTATTTATTTCGACACACCAGCCGTATCCCACCGAGGTGGGGTGGCCCAAAAGGAAAAATGAAAGCTTCTCCTTTTACATTTAGTAATATATACAGAAGGAGGGGTTACTAGTCCCTTGCTCCTGGCATTTTAGTCGCCTCTTACAACACGCATGGCTTACGGAGGAAGAATTCTGTTCCACTTCCCCATGGAGGTAAGAGGAAATAAACAAGAACAAGAACTAGTAAGAAAATAGAAGAAAACCCAGAGGGGTGTGTAGATACTATATGCTTGTACATGTATGTGTAGTGTGACCTAAGCATAAGTAGAAGCAGCAAGACATACCTGAAATCTTGCATGTTTATGAGACAGACAAAAGACACCAGCAATCCTACCATCATGTAAAACAATTACAGGCTTTCATTTTACACTCACTTGGCAGGACGGTAGTACCTCCTTGGGCGGTTTCTGTCTACCAACCTACTACCTAGAAATTATTCATTTAACTGCATTAAAGAATATATTTCATTCCTGCCTTTGCACACTTTCTCTGCTCTAATATACCCCTTAGCAAAAAAACAAAAAGGCTATGAATTAATTTCTATCCATTTTTTGCTCATCCCTCCCCATTATATATGTATCAAGACTGGTTAAGGGAATAATGTCTAAATTTTTAACAATACATGTATACACATATTACAAAGCTCTAGACTTGACTAAATATTGGAGGCCTGCTGCCTTGTTAACCTATCAGGAAAAAAAAATAAGTACAATGGTACCTCAGAATACGAACTTAATTTGTTCCAGAAGGCTGTTCGAATGCTGATACCGAACGAATTTGTTCTCACAAGGAATAATGTAAATTAGATTTATCCGATTCACACCCATAATTGTTCAAGTTTTGAGCTGTTCATATCCCGAGGTACCACTGTACCTGGGTGTTATTCGACTGGTGTGGGTCACATCCCTGGGACAAAATTTCTTTCCATGGATTTTTGTAATGTTTCATTTGTGTTTGTACTTTTTTTTTTTTTACATTTCAATACATTAGTCATATTTTTATTCATATTCTAATTGTATTTCTAGCAGGGATTTTTGTACATTACACTCCCCCTGAAAGTATTCAGTAGTTATAAAGTGCTCTCACCTTTACATAAACTTCACTCATACTGGATCCTCTGAAAACACTCATAACATATAGTACAGTATACATAGTATTATTTCACCATTGCAGCTTAATGGTGATGACGATGAAGACCCAGTTAAAAAATGTACTGCTGAGGAAAGTGTTCAGTGCAAAACAAAAGATGGAAGTAAGGTAGATGAAGATCGAGGGAAGCCATCTTCAAAGCGCAAAAGTGATGAAGGACTGGGTGTGAGAGACGAATTAGATTTTGAAGCCGAAAGAGAAAGCGGTGAAGAGGAGGCAGAAGAAGGAGAGGAAGGTGAGACTGACTACTGTATTAACTAATAACTTACCATGGTCTCAAGTATTTTATATAGATGAACTTACCAATCGCTGGTATCAAACTCTTCTCTTCTGATTGATAAAGATGTAGAAATAAATAAAAATCCATCTTTTGCTCAACAGTAATGCTTACAAGTAAAAATGTCTACTCTAACTGGAATTCAATTTTTTTTTCTTTTAATTTTGAGTTAAATACTAACTGTACACAACAGGTGTCCCTTGCTTTATGTGATACACGTACGTATATGCATTTCTGGTCATTGGCATACAAAGTGAATTTGCATAAAGTTAGCCCATTACAACATTCAAAAGATAGTGATTTATTTGAAATTGCAAATTTTACATTTCTTGACTGAAGTTTACCAGTATTACAGTGGACAACAAAGGTTTTGGTTCATGCTTAAAAATATGTGTTTCTATCTCATTTTGGGATGCTGAATTCATATCTGAAGTTAGTTTTGCTCCAACACACACAGTTTCTGTGAAATAGAGAAAAAATATAAGGGAACCTAATGATCAGTTCGAGGACTGACTACTGCTGGACACTGGTGTGGGAGAGTCATACTCAACACCAGTGAAAAAGCCAGAATACTGTGCTGTAAATGTGTTTGACTGTGTATAATTTTTTTTTATTTTTGTTTTGTATAATGAATTTACTTTGAGAAAGATTAGCTTTTGTCATTGCATGCTCCACATTTAATATCAATGTATAATATAGTTCCTTTGTTAGGTAACGTGTATAATGTGGTTCTTCAACCTTTATTAAATAGCCAAAATATTGATTATAATATTTTGGAAAAATCTTACATGATAGACTAAACCAGCTCAGCTTTGTCATCAGTGCACCAAAGTTAGCTTAAAACAACTAATTTGGTTTCTGAACTGGATAAAAAGTTAAATTCTGGTGGCTAGTGCAGGATGAGCATACCACACATACACCAGATGGTTCTTTAAAAAAAATGTATTTGGTCTAAAAGTAACCAAGGAAAAAATGCCAGATTTAATTGCGAAGGTTAGTGGACAAGTTTGGGAGGGTGTGTAAAGGAAGAAAGTTGAAAGTGAACATGGATAAGAGTAAGGTGATAAAGGTATCAAACAGTTTAGATAAAGAAATATTGGATATCACATTGGTGGGAGGGAATATGGAAGAAGTGAATGTGTTCAGATATTTGGGAGTTGACTTGTCAGCAGATGGGTTTATGAAGGGCGAGGTTAACCATAAAATTGCTGAAGGAAAAAAGTTGACTGGTGCTTTGAGATATCTGTGGAGACAAAAAAACATTATCTATGGAGGCCAAGAAGGGAATGTACAAGGGCATAGTGGTACCAACACTTATATGAGTGTGAAGCATGGGTTGTAAATGCTGCAGCAAGGAGGCTGGAGGCAGTGGAGATGCGTCTATGGGCAATGTGTAGTGTAAATATTATGCAGAGAATTCATTGTGTGGAAATTAGGAGGAGGTTTGGAGTTATTAAAAGTATTAGTCAGAGGGCTGAAGAGGGATTGTTGAGGTGGTTTGGTCATTTAGAGAGGATGGACCAAAGTAGGAGAACATATAAATCTGTAGTGGAAGGAAGGCGGGATAAGGGTCGTCCTAGGAAAGGTTGGAGGGAGGGGGTAAAGGAGGTTTTGTGGGCAAGGGGTTTGGACTTTCAGCAAGCGTGCATGAGCGTGTTACATAGGAGTGAATGGAGACGAATGGTTTTTGGGACCTGACGAGCTGTCAAAGTGTTAGCAGGGTAATATTTTGTGAGAGATTCACAGAAACTGGTTAGCCGTAATTGAGCCCTGAAAGTGAGAAGTACAATGCTTGCACTTTAAAGGAGGGGTTTGGGATATTGGCTGTTTGGAGTGATGTCCAAACTGTTGTATCTGAGCACCTCTGCAGAGACAGTGATTATGTATGAATGATGGTGAAAGTGTTGAACGATAATGAAGGTTTTTTGTCTTCTGTTATTTTTTTTTTTTTGATCACCCTGCCTCGGTGGGAAACGGCAGACATGTTAAAAAAAAAAAATTGAACAAAAGTCAGGGAAAAATTCAGGAATTTTTATATTTAGTGAAAATATTATGAACATACCTAATAGAAACAAAACTGAGATATCCCAAAAATAAATACAATTGGTTAACTAAACAACTGAGAAAAAATAAATAATCAGAAATGAAAGAAATGAAGGAACATGACCAGAAAAGATGTTATACATACTTTTTTTTTTTTGGTCACAAAAAATGAAGTGAAGACATTGCAAAGCCACACTGCTTATGTAAGATGTGCAGTGTGTCACTGCATGTCTGTGTTTCATGAAGTGCACCCACAAGCACATGTTAGAAAACTCATAAATAGCATACCAAATTTGATGGTATAAGAGGGGTTGTTGAGGTGGTTTGGTCATTTAGAAAGAACGGATCAAAGTAGAATGACATGGAGAGCATTTAAATCTGTAGGAGAAGGAAGACAGGGTAGGAGTCGTCCTCGAAAAAGTTGGAAGGAAGGGGTAAGGGAGGTTTTGTGGGCGAAGGGCTTGGACTTCCAGCAGGCGTGCATGAGCGTGTTCGATAGGAGTGAATGGAGATGAATGGTATTTGGGACCTGACGATCTGTTGGAGTGTGAGCAGGGTAATATTTAGTGAAGGGATTCAGGGAAACTGGTTATTTTTATATAGCCGGACTTGAGTCCTGGAAATGGGAAGTACAATGCCTGCACTCTAAAGGAGGGGTTTTGGTATATTAGCAGTTTGGAGGGATATGTTGTGTATCTTTATACGTATATGCTTCTAAACTGTTGTATTCTGAGCACCTCTGCAAAAACAGTGATTATGTGTGAGTGAGGTGAAAGTGTTGAATGATGATGAAAGTATTTTCTTTTTGGGGATTTTCTTTCTTTTTGGGTCACCCTGCCTCGGTGGGAGACGGCCGACTTGTTGAAAAAAAAAAAAAAAAGATTGTATAAAGAATCAAGAGCAACACATGACTTTGCTTCCAGCCAAGATTAAGCTTCGTTACTTTAAGCCTCAGCACATAACAGAAAGGTAAGAATTCAATATTTTCTAGACATTTTATAGGTATAATAAGTTTTTGATGTTCTATTTTTTTTTTAACCTTTCACAGCTGAAGAGTTATGTAAGATTTGACAATATTTGATGGGAGTGATCTGAATCCATATTACTTCATGATCATGATGAGGTTGTGGGCAGTAGTGCCAGAGGTCTTTTATATGTCAATAAATATTATAATTAGGCATTCATTCTTTTTACCTTCAACAAATCAGTCCCACCGAGGCAGGGTGACTCCAGAGTATTCTTATCAAGTAATATATACATTTATTAGTAATTAAACTAGAGTGCATTTTTTATAAACCATTTTATAATTCAAATAACTTAAAGAATGCTATCAGTTCTAGAATATTATTCTATGAAAGAATGTTATCAGTTCTAGAATATTATTCTATGAAAGAATGCTATCAGTTCTAGAATATTATTCTATCCTCACTCTTTTTTTCAGGGTAGAAGGCATACCAGAGCTGTAAAGTGCATATTAATTCTTTATGGTTCAAAACACTTGGAATGTGCTTTATGGAATGAATAAATGAAATCTTTCTTTCAACACACTGGCCGTATCCCACTGAGGCAGGGTGGCCCAAAAGGAAAAACGAAAGTTTCTCCTTTTACATTTAGTAATATATACAGGAGAAGGGGGTTACTAGCCCCTTGCTCCTGGCATTTTAGTTGCCTCTTACAACACGCATGGCTTACGGAGGAAGAATTCTGTTCCACTTCCCCATGGAGATAAGAGGAAATAAACAAGAACAAGAACTAGAAAGAAAATAGCAGAAAACCCAGAGAGGTGTGTGTGTATATATATGCTTGTACATGTATGTGTAGTGTGACCTAAGTGTAAGTAGAAGTAGCAAGACATATCTGAAATCTTGCATGTTTATGAGACAGAAAAAACACCAGCAATCCTACCATCATGTAAAACAATTACAGGCTTTCATTTTACATTCACTTGGCAGGACGGTAGTACCTCCCTGGGCAGTTGCTGTCTACCAGCCTACTACCTAGGGAGTAAATGAAATCTTTCTTTCTTTCAACACACCGGCCGTATCCCACCGAGGCGGGGTGGCCCAAAAGGAAAAACGAAAGTTTCTCCTTTTGCATTTAGTAATATATACAGGAGAAGAGGTTACTAGCCCCTTGCTCCTGGCATTTTAGTCGCCTCTTACAACACGCATGGCTTACGGAGGAAGAATTCTGTTCCACTTCCCCATGGAGGTAAGAGGAAATAAACAAGAACAAGAACTAGAAAGAAAATAGAAGAAAACCCAAAGGGGTGTGTATATATATGCTTGTACATGTATGTGTAGTGTGACCTAAGTGTAAGTAGAAGTAGCAAGACATACCTGAAATCTTGCATGTGTATGAGACAGAAAAAAAAAAGACACCAGCAATCCTACCATCGTGTAAAACAGTTACAGGCTTCAGTTTTACATTCACTTGGCAGGACGGTAGTACCTCCCTGGGCGGTTGCTGTCTACCAACCTACTACCTAGGAGTAAATGAAATATATAACTTATATAATTTTATTTTTTCAACGCACTGGTCGTATCTGACCGAAGAGGGGTGACCTAAAAAAAAAAGAAAAAAGTTTCTCTTTCTAAATGTAGTAATTCATACAGAAGAGGTTACTAGCCCCTTGCTCCTGGTATTTTAGTCACCTCTTATGACACGCATGGCTTATGGAGGAAGAATTCATTTCTATTTCCTCATGGAGATAAGAGGAATTAGAGAAGAACAAAAACTATTAAGAAAATAGAAGAAACCCCAGAAGAGTGTGTGTGTTTATATGCATGTACATGCATGTACATTGTAGGTAGTAGGTTGGTAGACAGCAACCGCCCAGGGAGGTACTACCGTCCTGCCAAGTGAGTGTAAAGCTGAAGCCTGTAATTGTTTTACACGATGGTAAGATTGCTGGT